TGGCCCCCCCCCCCCCCCCCCCCCCTCTTTTTTTCCCTCTCCCTTGTTGATTACTCTATATAATGAAGAAAAAGCTGGCCAAATGATAATTGTAGCCAATGCGCATGTTCTTTTATTATTATTATAAAAAACATAGGAAAAAGATCTGACAATCTTTAATTTTCTTTGGTCATAATGTGGGATCCACAAACATTCCCCTCGATAATCGTGCAAAGGAATAATCACTCCCACTTCACTACATTTTTCAATTAATATATTATTTTTATGAATATATAAATCTTTTGCAAAAAAACCACTCTATTTCCAATCTTTTGATGATGATTAATCATGTTATAATAACTATAGTTCAATCTGAAACAACTTCAAATCAACTATACGAATTTCTCGTGATCATTTTTAAGGTAATAAGAAGAGTTTTCAGGTGATCATATAAATTTTCACGGATCATTACAAGTTTTAATAATAATTCTCTCTCAGGTTCATCTACATAAATTTTGTTACGACTAGCTCCAATTGTTGAGTCTCCCACATCGGCTAAGAGATATGGGCCCTTCGACTTCTCTTCATATGAGTTTAGACAATCTTTTCTTTATAAGTTATCTTCTGAGGTTGAGTTAGACTCAAGATTCATTCGACATCAATTGACTTCATCAGATGTCTATGAACAACAAAAACATCTATGTTACCGTGATTCAAACAATTTTAATTTCTCCTTACTCTAAATGATAAGCTTCAATCGACTCACATAGTCAATAATGTGAGGTGATGACTTGCGCTTGCCGCTTAGTATTGAATCAAATATTAAATGGTTAAAAGACAAAAACAATATAATGAATGGAAAAAAGTCTGCAAATTTTTATATATTTAAATTATTTTACAGTATGCTTTTCTGAAGATTTGTTAATTACTTTTACCAGTGGAGAATAAAAGCCTTAAATGGCTAATTTTTTTCTTTAATGTGTGGGTCGTTTTCTTTCTGGCCATTTTAGGAGGTTTCCCTTTATTTCCCCTTGTGGAAGTTGGATAATAAAAACAACAAAAAGTTTTTGCAACATTTATGAATCTTTTTTATCTCATGAAATTTATGTTATCTTAACAGAAATGCTGCCTTTTTCATCTAAACTTTTCACTTTTTTTCATGAATTAAAACATTTTCTGTTAGTCCTTTTTTGGATTCTGGAAAAGACGAATGACGAAAATAGAATAGAGAGAAAGTTAGAAGTAAAATTTTGAAAATGACATTTCGAGAATTATAATACATAAGTTGAGGGTGACAGATTTATGCCTATTGAAGCTTATAATCTTCACCCGAAACCAATAGTTCGATTAGGGATCAGTACACTACGATTTAAGGTCATTTCTTCAAATATTATCAAAGCTTATGATCGATACGATTCAAGAATATTGAGTTGTAACACGAAAAATATCATAACTCAATCGATATTCCAGCATTCTCATACAAACAGTTTTTACAAGAAAAAAATATCCACAAAGAGAGAACATGTTGATTTCTTTTACAAAATAATGATATACCCTTTCCAGTTCTTGCATCTGTACAGGGACATCCCAGTTTTACTCATGATGCTTAAAAGCAAATCAATTAGTACTTTTTTTTCCCTTCTTTCTGTGGTATGTATTCAGTTGAACCCAAGCTCATTGATCTGCATTTATCCCGAAAATACGAACCTTGTGCATATTGGGAAACTTGGCAACGACCAGTACAAAAACTGCGATTGTGTTGAAGAACAGCATGGGGTGTTGATAATCAGTTGTATGGGAGGCTATCAAGTAGCTGCGAAAAGAAACAAGTATGAGAACACCACTTGCAAAGGCTGATCATAAAAGGGGATAATAAAGAGGTATAGTAAAATAAAGAATCGATTCTATAGAGGGGAAGAAAAAAGAGGATCGTCGGGTAGCTGGTGCCACAGGCAAGGTGAATGGCAAACAAATCAATGTCCTACAACATCATTAATACAAAAGTTGCAGTAGTAGTTGGTTCTTGGTACAATAAATGAGAGCACCACCATTGCTGAGCTTCAGCCTTAGCTAGCCTTCAATAATTTCTTTTTTAAGTGACAGTGCATAAGCTAGTGTATCATTAATAAGACCCATTATTGTTTGATTAGCTACCAAACCGTATGCCTTACATTCACCTCATTAAGAGTCTAGAAAGTACTTCAAAATATCTAGGAAAGTAAAACGAGGGGAGAAGAGAAAGTTTCATCACTGATTAAAAAAAAGGATGAAATGAATAAGCAAATGCGGCAAAATTATTTTCGATATACATATTTCAGATAGGGAAGCAATAAACATGCCAACCACAACACCCCAACCCCTCCACCCCAAAGAAAGAACCCACTAGCTCAAACCAAGCCGAACGTGTACAAACTTCCTCCCTCCTACTCCCTTCCCATCAAATCCTGTGAAGCTTATTCTGATGAACCCCTAAAGAAAATTTCTTAAATGACTCTGTAAGAAACTCCATCTCCCAAAGCACAGCCAGAAATTATGTTAAAGAAAGATACATAAAGCAGCCACTTAACCGACATGTTGAAGAAATCAAAACGCAAATATAACATGCTTTGTCTACAACATATTAGTCTCAGAACATTTATATGCATGAATAATGAAATTGACAGTTCATATTGCACTTCATTATCCAAGACAAATTTTTATTAAAAAAAACTATGCAGCAATGCAAACAAGGCTGTGTGCATAATCCCATAGCATAAATAAAAGACTGACAATAATATCAAGATGCTTAAGTGCTGATTCATCATTTTACTACTTATACGAGCAAAAAGGTGGGCATTTCGTCGAATGCTCTTTCATCATTTTCTTTACCATTTTTATTTCAAGAATTGAACTCTCTACGATAACTATCTTGTATACAATTCAACTACCTTATGAAACTTGCTCCACTGACAAAAATACTACAAGAAAAATCCGTATTTTTTCCCCTTGAATATTGAAAAAGAACTAGTCATCTCTGCAAAATGTGCGCTTTTAGTAGGTGGAAATTAATGTGTAATGCTTTCAAAAGATTTATTTTGTGGCCCTCTTTTTTCTTTTTAGTCATTCAAAAACTCAAGCCTTATGAGGAGAACCACATTCCAGACCAACTCGATCCTGGTACCCCAGAGACAACTTTCTCAAAGAGCAAAGATTAGGAATTTAGACAAACATAACTATGAGTTTCCTCCTTCAATTCCACAAATTTAGTTAATTTTTCCAGGGTCAATGGTATAATTAACTAACTTCTAAAACCTTTGGGATAGCTACTACCAACAGTTATAAAACAAATCATAATTTTTGTGTCATCAAAGGTTCAGTCATTTCTTTTTTTCTTGTGTGTCATAAGTCCATCGAACATTAACTTTCATCAAATGAAAATTTGGCTTATTGCTTTCAGAGGGAAACTGTCTTTTTTCTCGTGGAGCATTTGGGTTCTCAACAAATCAGATGTTATAAGCATTAGTTAGGAACTCAAACCAGTTGTATATTCACCTTAGAGAGAAGTTCATTAGTGGCTTAATAGCTGTGCATCCTCAATAATTTCTTGTGAAACCTGGCACAATCATTCAACCATGGCATATCTAGATACCTTCTGCAGTCCTGCTGCAATCATAATATGCTAAAAGCCTAACACTTTCTCTGAAAGTATCAGTGTTTGGGTTTACCATGTCATGTGTAGGTCTTGAAGTTAAACGGAACCAACTTTCTACTAAACTATAATATGATTAGGGTATATAAATCAACTATGCATCAATCTAAAACTAGCCAGAGTTGGCTAATGAAACACTTAATATCCATTCGTCTCTAATGATGCAAATTAAGGGTTCTCCAGAACTAGAGATCTCTAAATTTTACACTTACCCCTACATGGACATTAACTCTTTGACAACAATTAACCTCAATTCCAACTAATTGGCATCACTCATACAAAACGTATGATTCTATTTTTAATTTTACCTGAACTCACATTAATTCAAACAGATATTTCAACGACTTGAAACATCCATCTTGGCTAACATTCACCCTCATGTAATATTGTTGGTGCCACAACCATTTTATACGATTTGGCCTTCACCTCCATTTCAGTCATCATATTCTATGTGTTAATTCCTCCTTTGTCATGCCATTCACTAGGAGACTGTGAAACCATTCTTTTTACCCTAAAAGAGTCGAAAGAAAAACCAAATATGACACTTTTTTTTGACATAGCCAAATATGACACTTAATCAGACACATTATCAACTCTTTTCTTTTTTCTTTTGATATGTTAACATGTTGAGCGGTGACATGAACCTACAACCTAAGGTTGAGGTAGAGGTGCTTTCCTCTAGAGCTACCCTCTCTTTGTCCAACACCCTATCCATTTATATGAGGTAACATCTTCAACACTGATTCCTCCATCATCAGTTTTTTTAGTAGTAACAGATTTGATCAATTTGCTCAGGTTGTGGTGATGCTTTGTTGAAGAAGCTATTAAGAATAAGCTTCCATTACAGCCTGTTATGTAAGAATTATATCATATATATTTTTTATTCTTAATAAAAACCCAACCCCTTGGTTTCTAGACCTCCTAAAAGTCAAAGCTTAGCTATGCTAGTGCAACGACAATTTCCACAAACTAGCTTCTTCTTTTTTTGATTTAGTAAGGGAGTTTCATTAAATGACATCAAGAAGATACAGAAAGCAAGCTTGTGTAATTAACACTTGTACTAATATCATTAACCATGGAAGTTATGCATAAACGTAATGCTAATAACATCGATTTGTGAGTAATCCATGATATTTTTTGTCTAGCTAGCTACTACATCTATTTTCTGACTTCTTGGACCGGTAATTGTTAACTTCCCAAATAAGAATAGTGTCGTATAAAATGAACCATTGGAAGTTTAGTTAATCAAGCCTACAAAATCATAGCTTAAGAGCATTACGCCCTCTAATATATATACTCTACCATGATCAGAACCTCTGTTGTAAAGTGCATCACGGTGAAATTTAGAAGCTTTTTCAAGCCAGTTGGTGAGATCATATACACATCAACTACACTTGAAAGCAGGAAATTTGTTCATAGCATTAAAAATGTAAATAGCAATTAACTTGCTGAAATTGACTACTTACAGCACCACAGGGACAACTGTTAGAAACTTCCTATTGCGTGTAAGCTGCTTCCCACTATCTATCTGCTCCCACCAAGTCAACCTATTGTAGATACCTTGGTCATCAGCAAATGGTGTTCCCTTCTTCCAGTGAAAACATTGATATGTGACCTGAAGATAAATAGACAATACGAAGGCATTTGTAAAGACACCTAAAATTTGGAGTATGTACAATTGTGTTCCCTTCTTCCAGTGGAAATTAGTGATATAAGAAATACATATGAATAGAGAAGGCAGAGTCTTTCACAAAGAGATAAAATCCAGAGTAGATATATAACAAGGTTTCCTCCCATGCTATAACATAAAGGACAGAAAAAAAAAACACAAAACAAAATAAAATGGTACCAAAGAGAAGAAGGTAAAGCTCATCAACTAGACTTCGACTGTTCGATATGCCTAAGAATTATGCATACAGACATTTTTTCAGGGCATACAACATAAGTAAACAGTAATAGTTAATTGCTAATAAACACATGAGACAGGGCAAAGCATAGCAAGAATGAGTTAAAAGACGCAAAAAAGGTAATAGAGATAATTAAGCTTTCAAATTATCAATCTTAATAGAAGTACTAATCATCCACATCTGAAAAAATCTCCCAAGTTTCAAATGTACTCGTTTCTCTGTACACTAGTGATCAAATAACGAAATAACACGGAACATCCAGCACACATCATAATTGTCATGAAAATGGCCTTGAACCTAACTCAACTCCAAAAACTAGTTCAAGTGGTGAAAGTTATCGAAACCAATATAAAGACACTAGAACGCGAGATGTCGACCAATATAGGAACCTTGGGCTAACTCAATCCTAAAAGGGAGTTCAAGTGGTGAGAATTCCCCAACATTAAAAGAGAATACAGTCCATGAACTCCATACCCTCAACCAATATGAAACTACAGCAATAATGTCTAGTAAAGTCGATTGAAATGGAAAAATCAAATATACTAGACACCGAAAAGGCCATAGCTTTCAATACACTTGGCATGTCAACTATCTAAGACTTAAATCAATCAATCACAAAAAGTAAAGCTCAGCTGTATTATTTTCCACTATATCTAGGAATCAAGACTAATACTAAAAGAACTTCAATTCACCACTTCTCCAGCTACTTCCCCCAGAATCTCTCACTTCCAAATTGTACTTAAGCAAATGATCAATGACCCAAAGCTGAACCTAGCTCAAATCAATTCCAAATTGCACCATAAGTCTCCAAATTCCACAGTACCAAAAACCCAGAAAACACAAAACAAACTAGACATGTAATCATAAGAATATCAATCAGCCAAACATTTAAACTGTTATTCCTCTAATCAGACCCATTTAAACAAAAAAAACTAAACTTGATTATAATTTATCAAAATTTGACTACTTTAAAGCAACCCATCATCATTTAACTGCAAAGAACTACTCGACTCCAACCGAATTAAAGGAAATTAGAATCATACGAGAAAATGAGAAAGATGGACGATGGTCCAAGCCATGCCAGGAGAGCAACCAAATACGGAGAGAACAACGAGCCATGAGAAGAATAGAATTAGGATGTAGGTCGTCCATACACCGGGATACGTGAACCACTCGGTATTCCGATTCAGATCCGTCGGCGGAACCGCCGTTACATAATAATTTGCCATACAATAAATTCTTCAAAATTCAATGAAAGTGAGATCCAATGTATAGGAAGATAATAATATGGAGCTTTCGTCGCCCAATTTGATCTGAAGATGAAAAAAAATGGCAATTGGAAAATAGAGTTCAAAGTATATTTTTTATCAAAGGAATATGAAACGACGAGCCTATAGCCAGTGGGTTTGGTCGGTAGGATGTCTTGAATTTTTACGAATGTTTGTTTTGCTAAATCAATATTTATTTAGTGACACATGAAGTATTATTTGATTTTAGAGTTAAATAATGAAAAATATATTTAAATTATTACTATCGTGAGTTTCATATCTCAATTATATATTATTTTTTTATCTACCTAAACGATGGCTTTTTTTATATTAAAAATATATTTTGATGCTAAATATTTATTATCAATCGTCCCTAAATGTAGGTAGACCAACTCAACATAAGATGTAATTTAATATAAAAAGAGTGATAGTTAATATGAAACTCGAAAAGTTGATATCTTAAATAGCTAAATAGGATAATAGACTGAAGTATTAAGCTCTGAAAAAAATGTTTACTATTGACTCTTGATTTATTTATTTATTCTCTTGCCTAAATAATTTGTTTTGTAATTAAGAAAAAATATTACTTTAACGAAAAATATTAAAGAAAATATACCCAAAAAATGGTTGAAGGATACTGTTAGAACTGCAGTATGGTGAGTTTGGATCTAAATTAGATGGTTTACTCTCTTGTTAAACTTCTAGTTAAAAATGTTAATTACTTATCCTTTAAATGTTTTCAAAATTCACGGAATTCGTTGATAATTAACCTAGGTCGACTGATTCGTTTTAAATTTAAAATATTTCTATAGGATCAAAAGTTTGAAGAATAAAGTATTTTAAAAGATGAATTTTCTTAGATATGAATCTCATAATTCTAATTATAAACAAAGGCATTATATTAGCCGATCGCGTTCTTTATTTGTTTTATGTTCAAAACATGTAAACCGTTTTTTTTTTTTTGCCAATACCACTCAAAAGATAAAAAAAAATGTGGATTTTGAGAATATTACAAACCAAAAGAGAAAAGACTTGTTTAACTCAAATAGACTTATTTAATTTCTATTTGAGTTAATACACTTACTTAATATCACCGCCAAATCAGAAAATGGACCACTTTCTACTTCTAGACTTAACTTTAAATAATTTTCACAAAATAAAAAGGACATTATTTAACTAAGTCAATAACTTTGAACTATATTTTATTTTAGTAATTTAAAAACTAAAGGTTCTTTAAACCACCCTTAAATTTGATTTGGTACAACAATGGTGGGGTCAATTAATTATTATGTGAGAAAAAAATCAATTAATTAGTTGGCAAGTCGGAAACTACATACTTTGTGACCTTATTTAAAGTCAAGTGTGAATATTCTATTGTTTCTAATTGACTATTAAACCAAAATATTTAAGTTATTGTGCTTCATATACAATTGGATTAATTATTTCATATGAAATCAAGCTATAGAAAGCTGTATCAAATATTAATTTAAACTTGTAAAATACATATTTATTAATGAGCAAATGAACTCGTAATAGTTGTTCAAATAGCATAGGCTAGCAATTGTGGTGCTTACAAATGGGCTGGATCATATAATGGTTAAAAAACCAAGCCCAATAGTAGTGCTCATAAGATGGGCCTCCTATTTCGTTCGAAGGGAATTCAACATGTATTGGGTTATACTTGCAATATTGCTTATAAATGGACACCGGACAGGATGATGTTCAGCAACAGAGTGGTCAAAAACTTGCCAAGTTCGGAATGTTATGGTAAAACTTCGTTTGAAATGATGTGGTAGAACGCAATGTGCCACTTGAAGGACACGATCCGTTGTGCATTTGTACATCCCTTATTTTATGTAGGAATGAAGCTGTTCTTGCCTCGATATTGTTGGTTCTGTTTCATCAGAATTCAATCAACATAAATGACTTAAAATCAATAACTCATTATCTAATGGATCTTTTCATTCATAAAGATCCTTACATTCCCCTGGACAGCCAAAACTCAATAACTAAAAAAAAATTGTCTTGATGCAACACAAAGTTGGATCACAAATTCAAGCTTTAAAATTAATAACTAATACTTGTATTAGAGTAGATATCTACGTAACATCTATTGAAATATGATCCTTCTTCGTACTATGCTAACACGAGATATTTTATTCATCGAGTCCACGATGAACCAAGACAAAAAGAAATAGAGGATGTAAGTGATGATGTGTGTGTGATCCCATCATAAGCCTGCAAAGACCATAATTAGCCCCACTACAAACATCATCATCTCAATTAGTGGACCCCCAACTAATTACTTGTGGGCCCCAAGCCCAATAAAAAAAGTAAACAAAGTCAGTGTCAATTGTCAGTTTTTACTGAGCCCAGCCCTCTCTTTTTGCCTACATTATAACCGACATTTGACGCCTCGAAAAGCAAAACCGTCCCATATATATTATTTTTCATTCGTCTCAATTTATGTGATACTTCCTCTAATTAGATATAAAATTTTAAAAAATAAGTTTTTTTTCTTTAAAAAAAATAGCTTTTGTGTCATTATTAGTTTAGTAGATAAGTAATTCTAAAATTAAATTATTTTTTATTATTAAAAATATTATTTTTGAAATAGATTAAAAATAAAAACGTATACGGTAAATAGGAACAGTGAGAATATATATTCTTGTTTGGTCTGAATTGAGAAACAAATGAAGACTTGTCGAGGTACCACTCGTAGGATTAAAACCACTGATTAAACCTATAATTACTAGGTTGTCTACATGTCACTAATTGCACCACAAAACTATCTATTACAGTACAAACCTTTTTTTTGTATTGCATGAAAGCCTAATTAAATTTGAATTTGCAAGTACAAAAATCAATTGAAGCAAAGTAAAATTCAAAGATATTGATTAAAAAAATCAAAGAAATGAGATTATAATTAAAATATAAATAATAGTAATATATTCACTGAAATCTCATAAATAAAATAAGAAAGAAATGTAGAACATACACAAAAAAAAATTCAATAGTGAGACGATTTACGAAAGAATCGAGAAAAAAGAGGTGTATGAAAGAAGAAGAAGAAAGGAGGAGGCAAAATTGTAGACATTCTCTGTAGAGAATATAGGGTTTTGTGATAATGGGGGCCCATTATTTGATGGACCTATCAATGATCATGGGCCTGACACAACCTTGAACTATGTGACCAATTCATCATTCATTCATTAGTGCCTCACATTAACAACCTACAACACTTTTCTTAATAAATGCCTCTACCTCAACAAAATCATCTTTTATGGAGTTAGATCTATTTTTTATTTTTTTTTGGTGTTAAATAGATATACTTTGGTTATATTTGAGGTGTGCAATAGGATATACTTTAGTGTTAATTGAAATGTTGAATTAAGCGTAAAAAAATCTCATATATTATATATTACTCTGTAATAGAAAATGATTCAAAAGTCTATACGCTATTGAAAAATATAGTATTAATAATCAGATATCAAAAATTCAAGTTAAAGTTATACTACCTATTATTAATATAAAAATCTTATATCATGTCATGTCTTTTTATCTGTTAAAGTATGCAATTTGTTTTTTAAGACGCAAGTTTGTCTATAAACATCATTATATTCGATGGTATACAACATAAACTCAATTAAATTTGATGCACTCATGTATACCTATACCTAAGGGAATCTCATACATAAAAAGTGTAATCATGAAGCAAAAAAAATTAAAGAAGGATTATTAGCCTTTTTTTCTTTTTTAAACCATGGCCCAATTTTTATTTTTTTTTCCTTTTCACCTCTTTAATTTTCTTTCAAATGTCAACCAAAGTCAAGAACTCATGTCAGCTTTTGTTTCCCACATTTTAAAAAAGCAGTGTGGATCCACCATTTAGGGCTATTATATAACTCATCACTTTTTTAAAATTCAAATTATATTTATAAAAATAGTAAAAGAACAGTGTCAAAATAGTATATATTCATACTACATTTATAATTAATGACTCTCAGTAGCAAATATCCCTATTGAAATCATACAGATTTAAGAGTGAAAGAAGAAAAAGATAAATCTGTGTTACTTTTTACCAAAAAAGAAAAAGAAAAAGTGTGTAAAATAAACAAACTCTAACCAGTTATTATCAATTGATAGAAGTGAATAATATCTGATTTTGTTATAGTGCTCTGTCTTCCTCAAAGAGGAAAATTAAAACTCAAACTATATTATGTGATAATGACATAATTTTGGATGTGATGTATCAACACTAACACATCGAATTCTATCAAAATTCCAAAATTATGTGTGTTTGGACGAGTGTAATACTAAGATGATGGGTAATCCATTTAATAAGAGTATCTTTTCTTTTAATAGGCTTGATGTTATACAAATATAACTAGCTAAAATTTTAATATATATAAATATCAAATATCGAGTCTGAAATCAAAAGAAGAAGTGACACTTCGTACAATAAGATTTTTGATAATTGCCAATTGCCGTAAGATAAAAGGAAAGAAAAATATAATGGACCATATATTATATAATATGGTCTGTATCCTAGGTATAACACAGTCTAGTAGGATTTCATTGAGAGTGATGTGTCAACACGCTATTTTTTTTAAATATTTAATTTAATTATCTTTAATTAACTTCATTCCTAGTCCTTAAAATCACGAACACGTATTAATTTGAAGTCGTCATGGGGTTAATTCCTAATTTGAATTCTAAAGTTATATATCTTTAATTTTTCACTTTATTATCTATATAAAAGATGGAATTCGTAATATTTGTACTCGGTTTAAAGTTTAAATTTTATACATTTATGCAATTACATCAGGTATAAAGTGACTCATAAAGCTTTAATCGATTAATAACCCGATGAAAATGGTAACTAACTTGTTATAACAAATTCATTTCTCTTAAGTCATCACATATTTGCTTTGAATGATCAATGATGGTTGAAATGGTTCCCAATGCATCTTTTATTAAAAGTCAAAATTAAATCAACTTCATAAGATCCATGCTAAAACATGCAAAATCAAATATATATTACTATATTCCAAAATATTAGTGTCATTTAAGCTGTAAAGTACAATTAAAGAAAAATAATAATATGAGATGATCATTGTGGTTAACATTTAGCACAACAG